CACCTCCAAAACCCTCGAAGAGACGGGATTTATGCAGGGCGACGCCTTTGTTGTGGAGTTCAGGATGGGTAAATGGATCGCTGATCCACCTCCCACCGCTCGCCCTCCTCCTCTCGAAGCCGCCCCATCCATCACTGAAACCCCGATGTTCCCCTCCGGAGGTGGATTTTTTGACCGCCTCAACGGCGGAAACCAGCAAACATCCTCCACGCGTCCGTTTGGCAGCAGCTTGTCGAGGAGCCCGGTCATCAATCCCACACCATCGACGAGCAAAACGCTCGAACCCGGCACGCTTGGCCTCGGGAACATGGGCAATACATGCTTCATGAACTCTGCCCTGCAATGCCTCGCACACCAGCCCGAGCTCGTCGATTACTTCCTCTCAGGCGTGTTCTCGAAGGAGCTCAATCCGGACAATCCTCTGGGCATGCACGGGGCCATCGCTGAGGCATTCGGCGCGCTCTTGCAGCGTATCTGGGCGGCGACTGCGCCGTCGACGTCGTATGCTCCGCGGGATTTCAAGACGCAGCTGCAACGCTTCGCACCGCAGTTCAGCGGGTACCAGCAGCACGATTCGCAGGAGCTCGTGGCGTTTTTGTTGGATGGGCTACATGAGGATCTGAATCGCGTTTTGCAAAAGCCGTATGTAGAGAAACCGGATTGGGAAGGCGGAGGTGATCGCGAGCTGGTGGATTTAGCGCGGCGGAGTTGGGAGGGGTATATGAAGCGGAATGATAGTGTGATTGTGGATTTATTCCAAGGGCAGTATCAGAGCACGCTTGTGTGTCCGGAATGTGAAAAGGTGAGCGTCGATTTCGATTTCGATGCACGGGGGACACGGGCTAACAGAGAGATCAGGTTTCCATCACGTTTGACCCATTCATGTACCTTACGTTGCCCTTGCCGGTGCAAAAAAAGTGGAAGCACACCATTTTCTATGTCCCGTGGGATACGGACAAACCGCATGTCAAGGTGGACCCGTTTTTCCGCTCTGCGTAAATTTATAATTCCCTACTCACGATAACCTAGATTCCTGTGGAGATTGGCCGGGACGCATCTTTCAAGGACTTGCGCCACCTTCTCGGGAGATGGATGGGTGTCCCGCCAGACAATGTACGCTCCCTCGTGCTTTTAGATGAAGCCCATTGACTCATGTAATCCGTCAGCTGCTCACCCTCGAGACATTCTCGCAGAAATTCTACAAAAATCTGGACGACACTCTTCTTTGCGGCGAGATGTCACCAAATGATCACATTGTCTGCTACGAACTGCCTTGTCACGCCCAGCAGAGCCGCACGTACAAAGCTCAGCCCGGGGATCCCCTCATCCTGCCCCTCTACCTCACCGACTTCCGTCCCACGCCCGCGACTCCCCAGCGCACGACCTACGGCACTTATGGCGGCTACCACTCCAACCCGACGTATTTCGGCCATCCTATGATTGTGGTTCTGAGTCCGGAGCAGGTGGCAGATAAGGATGCGATTTATGACCAGGTGGTCAAACGGCTCGAGCGCTGGGTAAATCATCCCCGGGAACTGTTCAGGTGGGAAGTACCCGGCGCGATCCAGATTAACGGTGTGCCGCCTGTTGTGGATTCGCTCGTAGAGATCAAGGCGAACGGGGACGTTGTGGAGCACATCGAAGCACCGGAGGGCGATATTACTGACGAGAAGGGGTTGATTGTGGAGGATGAGGATGTTGCGATGGAGGGAGTGGTGAATGGGGACGGTGATCGCGAGCCCGTCTGTGTGGGGTCCAAACCCGATTTGTTCATGCTAAAGGTGCTGCCGAAGATGAAGGAGTACGGGACGGCGAACTCGTACTTGACAGTCAACAAATCGGAAACGCTGGAGGCGCGCGCGGAAACGGCGGTGGATGGGCTGCTGCTGGAGGATGGGGATCTTCTGGTGTGCGAGTTTGAGGAAAATATGAGGCACTTTTACTTTGGAGACGGTATCCACCGACTCGGGGAGGACACGCGAGGGGAGTCGTGGGGCCAGATGGTGCATCCCGAGTATGAGGAGGCGCAGCGAGCGGCGGAGAGTAAGAAGAACCAGGGCATCTCGCTGCAGGACTGCCTCGACGAATTCACGAAACAGGAGCAATTGGGCGAGGATGATCTATGGTATTGCCCGCGGTGTAAGAAACACCAGCAGGCCACGAAAAAATTCGACCTGTGGAAGGCACCCGATGTACTCGTCGTGCACCTCAAGCGTTTCAGCAACAGCAGGACGTTAAGGGACAAAATCGATGCGTTTGTAGATTTTCCTGTAGCGGGCTTGGATCTGGGGGAGATGGTGGGTGAGCGTGCCGCTGCGCGGAGGTTGGCGGAGCAGGGGGAGTCATTGGACGGCCTCGAGTTGGGTAACATGGACGAGCCGCTGATTTACGACTTGTTCGGCGTCGACGAGCACATGGGTGGGCTTGGTGGAGGTCATTACCGCGCATATGCGCTCAATCATCGCAACGACAAGTGGTACCATTTCGATGATTCCTACGTGACTCCAGCGAAAGCCGACGATGCTGTGGTGAGTCTCGAACGGCACTGATCTTGTTTCTTGCTAATTTAACATACAGAACGCCAACGCGTACCTCTTATTCTATCGTCGACGGTCAACAGAACCCCTTGGCGGAAAGACTCGGGCCAAGATTGACGCCGCCCAGTTGGAGCGCCAGCAGGAGCCGGAGGAGATCACATTGGAGGAGAGTTCCATTTCGATAATCGACGCGCGCGATGACGATCTAGGCCTTCCCCAGCTGACCTCTTTTGAGCGGTCTGCGGGTGGGTCATCGCCGTCCTCGATGCACGAGGAACCACCCGATCTAGAAGACCCCATTGACATTCAGCTCGACCCACTCATGCAGTCTAATCAGCGCTTTGATTTCCCTGATCCTTCATCCAACAAAGCCTCGCCTGCATCTTCGACGGAGGCGGACGGGGATGGTGAGGCTTGGGGAACACCGTATTCTTTGGGCTCGCCATCTCAGTGGTCTCCGCAGCGTTCCCCCAATACATTGGACCGGCTTCACTCACCCTCAGAGAACTCGAGCGCGTCGGACACGAACCCTTTTACTGACGGACATATAGAGAATACGTCGATGCATCTCAAGGTCGATTAGAATAGTAATATCTGTATCATCGCTGACACTGCTTTGCTTTGCTTTTTATCCACACATAATTTTTCGCTTTTCTCCTTAGACTTGCTAGTCAACGCAGGCTACCGAGTCTAGGTTTATGCCCGACTCTGCGATAGTCGACCAAGGAGAGTGCTTTCAGCCTCAGGTCCTTCATACGATACCAATGGATTTGGACGAGTGTTAACCTTCAAAGTCAGAAGGTCCGGGCGAGAGCTATGACCTGCATTAGGAGCGTCGCTACGTACGTGAAAACCACGCACTAATGCCCAACTGGATCTGCTACCAGCTTAGCTGTTCTCGCAGCATCCAGGTCAATGTCTGCATATAAAATTGTCTCTTCGTCCGGTGAAGTTGTTGAGGTGAGCTGTGTCCCGTCTGGTCCATAAATTGCAGCGAAGCCGCCGCCCATCTAACATAACAGACAATCAATGCGCGCAGATTGTACTAGAGAAGTATGGCTGCATACCGGCATTTCCCAGGGTCCCGAGTTTTTCACGCTAGAATTTAGACGGCGCCGAGTCAATTCGACATCCCCAGCTTGATTATTGCGCACTTACCCACATAACTCTGCATTCTTGCTGCTGAGCATCTGAGTGCTCGAAATGACGAACATTTGACCCTCTAGAGCGGCGAATTTGGCCTGAACAATTTGTGCGTCCGAAGAGAACGCAGGTGGTGCGCCATTGGCGACCGAATCACAATACGGCCAACTGGCTACATGGATTTGTACGCCAAGACTGTAGTGGTGGAATCGTAGCAAAGGCTGAAGATGCTCCCTACCACCAAACGTCAAAAACGTTACAATAATTGTGCCGAACGTACCAGCAATTCAGACCACCGATAATGACTCCACCCGGGCCTTTAACAGCACTTTGCAGGGAATCGGCTGGAGCATCTCCCCAGAGAGTACGTTCTTGTCCTGTAGCCTGAAGAACGGACGATATAACTGATAGGTCAAACGGATCCCAGGGCACACTACCTTGAGTTTACGTCGATGTAGAACGACTACTCCTTCAGAGTTGATGACTACTTGAGCGGCGTACATGCTGCCGCCGTCCAATTCGCAGAATCCAATAACAACCCTGGACAAGTTCAACGGTCATAATCGGCTACTGAAGCATGAAGATTTGCCAAATCCCAGCCTCCTTGGTTGCCTCAAGGAGTTCTTGAAATTCGGACGATTGAACTGAGAGACAGTTCTTCTGATATTTCGCCAAGTATGCGGGATTGAAAGGTTGCGCCCAGATAGCCATAGGATATCCAGGAATGAATGATTCCGGGAATCCAACGAGTTCAGCGCCATTCGAGGCCGCTTCCCTGATAAGAGCGCACGCTTTCTTTACCCCGCTCTGTAGATCGAACCAAACGGGCTCGGCTTGAATTGCAGCAACTCTGGGGTCATAGGCCATGAATAGTGGTATTGAAAGCAGGCATTGCACATACTTCATTTAGGCTTTCGCGGGGATGGTTTGCAAGAAGAGGTTCGGAAGTGCTAGTGGCGCTTACTTACTGATTTGCTGATTGTCGGCAACTGTCTTCACAGAGAAAGAAGCAATCGAGACCCCAAGTCCGGGTGAGAGATCTTCTCGCCATCAGCTACAGGATGACATGAATTTGGGTATGAATCGAAGACAAGCGCCGGCCTCTGGCAGGTTGGGCGAATGGGTTGCGACTTCGTTGCGACCATCCAACTTCCTTGAATTTTAAAGTTGTGAATGTCAATATTTGAGTATGACAGGTTCAGAAAGACGTCAAGCTTGAAGACGTCCGTTGCTGCCGTGAAGCTCGAGGCGGACACGTCGCACAAGCGACGTGAAAACCCAGTCAACTATCGAGTAAATTTTGGTGTCTTATAGGCCATCGGCCTGATGGTCTAGTAGTATGATTCCTTGTTAGGGCGTGCATCGGCAATCGCCGAAGTCACGTGTTTCGAGGAGGTCCCGGGTTCAATTCCCGGTTAGGCCCTTTTTGACGCTTTTTTGAACAGTTCTAGCTCATTTTCATCAAGTTTGAAGCATCGGAAGGTTCAAAAACGTCAATTTTCAAAAAATCACTTTTTTTCTGATTAAACTCCAAATCTCAAGCTTTCTCTGCTTCCCCTTGCTTGCTGATATGTCCCCTCATGTGCGCGCTAATGTTCCGCGCATTTTGACCTAAATTTCATGTGGTTTGGTGCACTGTAGCTCTCAGAATCTGTGAATTTCTGATGGCACCTTTTTCTAGCTGATACCGTCCAAAACAAGAATCCCCCCGATTACCGTCCCTCTCTGGTGCAAACACCATACTCAACATTGTTCGGTGTATTGAGACGTACCTTAGGACCCAAGATTCATGTGATTTGGTGCTCTGTAGCCTTCGCAATCCGCTCTGGAAGGCACCTTGCCGACTCTGACAGTGAATCCCTTTGGGATCCCCTCCCTTCCCTTTCCTCCTGCATATCCACCGTACATGTATTCATGATCAGGTCATTTCACCGTACATTGCTGCCCAATTCTCGTCCAGATACGTGCATTACAGCTCTCGCAATTACAACTCAACTGTTTCTCAACTCGGTGCGCGTGCCAGTGCATCTCAGTTTTACTGTGTCTAGTGCCGTATTCTCCATAAAAATTGAATGCCACACATCACTGCGGTCCACATTCCATTTAGTCTCAAGAAGCTAAGTATGTCTTCTATCTATTGAAGGCAAGAGCAGTACCATTGGAGCAAAAAATACAAGTGAGAGATCTCGGAAATGCCAGTCCTCAGCATGGCAGTCCCTTTTTACGCCCTTTTTGGCCTTTTGGCGAAACTAGAACTGTTCCTGACACTTCTACGCACATTTCTAGCCAACTTTCGAGCCATTTGGATCACTACAGCCCTCAAAAAGTGCCATTTATGTCGGAAATTCGAAATTTCTCATGTGAGACTTCGTAAGGCCTCATGTGGCTGTGAGAGCCGAGGCCCTCATGAGCAAAGTGATATCATACGAGATTAATTCGATTTTTCGAATAGAGGGCCCCCACGGTACCGTGTGGGGTGCAGAATCCTTACTCCAGGAACAAAGAACACGTCCAGAGCAGCAGACAAGGTGGGAATGCCTTGCCTCGTCTTGTAGCTGCAAAAAAAAAAAGTTTGGGTCGACCATCTCGTAAGGCCGCATAGGCCTTAAAAGCCTCGGACCATCAAAATAAGGCCGTGTGAGAAAAATGCCTCATGAGGCAAGAGATAAATTTCCGACATACTCCCAACCTTCTCATTTTCAGCTCTTGTCACTTTGTATGTTCTCTTTGAGTGTTATCACACTTCCCTGATCTGCATACTATACGCACAGCTGTTTGGCACATTTTAGTCTATGTTCTGCGTGGTTTGGTGCTCTAGAACTTCCACAACAATCTCTGTTTTACTTGTCATGTCCTTGCAAAATCACTCGATGGTTCAGACTTGGAAGCTTGTCAGTGAAGAGGTCACAGAACCACACCCATGGTATACAGAACAGAGCTAATAGATTGATATCCATTGGGACCACCATTTCATGGAGCAGCAGATCCAGGTACAACAACCGAAGCTACCAGGACTCTTTGGTTGCAGCGTCTGTCTACGAAAGAGACTAGGATCCATGCAACCCATGCAAATCAAAAAAATGAAGCCTGGAGACAGATTACTGTCATCTTTTTGCTGGCTACTGCCAGTGGGACACCCTGGAACAATGGGTTGAAGACATGGAGTGTTTGAGAACTTGAATATCAAACTTATATAGTGAAAGTATTACGTCCCCCAGGGACCATTGCTCAAAACGACGATGACCAGTGAGATGTACAAATACCAGAACCTATTGAGGAAAGATCATGTCATGGACTTGCCATTCCACACAGAAGAAGTGATTACTTATGTATCAGCAGGTGTGTTCATTGTGCTTTGAATTGGTTTCCCTCCAATGAGAAATCTTGTCCACTCCAAGTACTGTATAAATCCCGAAGCAGGAGCACACTGCAAATGGCAGAAAAGTCAAATCTGAATCGAAGGGAAGAGGGGAAAAAAGTCAATTGTACCAGAGAAAGTAATAAAAAGAGAGAAAAGATTTAGAATACGTTTAATATGCATTAAGGGGGAATCGAACCCCCGGCGGGTCGAATCATACTTTCGACATTCCGTGATGGCAACGACCCAGGTTACCACTACCCCATTAATGCAATGGAAAAGTGTCCCATTGCAAGGTAACAACGGCGCTAGATGATTCATAATTTTTTCCTGTGCTGCAGATGGGGGTGTTGCGGGCGATCGAGATGGGAAAGAAGTCTCAGAGGAGGCAGCTGTGAAAGGTAGCGGCCTCGAACAAGCAGGGTCGACGTTTTAGGGACTTGTCGAGACACGCATAACAGAAAAGCACCGGCACATTGAGACAGAGCTGTTGTCGCGGAAGTACTGTGAAGGTGGATGATAGGGCATGGTCTTGGGGGGCGCAAGCAAATCGTACATATCATAATAGTTCTTAGTTCTGGCATGATAACCGTAGGACCCGGGCTTGGTGACAGCTTGAAAGGATAGGGAGGTTGTCGGCGCCGTAGGAGTAATAGATGTTTCAGATGCGAAGCACGCACATCGTCGGGGCGAAAGCATAGTAATCGGCCATGGCCAGCGGGACAACGACGGGGCAGGGCTCAAGAAACAAAAAGTTAGCAGGCGAAGAAGAAACGCAAGCCATAGGCACACCTTTATGTATTGTATGATGCCTCCGCTCCGCTACCTCCTCATCGACACGTTAAAGGCTAACCGTGGTTATAGCTTGACAGTCGAGACTCGAGTCAGCGTCTGCCGTCGCAGAACAGCTGCGCGGGGTAGGGAATGCACACACGCACGTACGTATCAAGGTGATGCAACTACCCCTCCATGGCCACGACCACCTGTATTCATACCGATTGATGCCGAAATTCATTGCGTATGCGTTCTTGAGTTGTTGCAGTCGTGGTCATAGAGGTCGAAGCTGGCGAGAAGATGTGCGTCGGCTACGCTTTTGAACGTCGCGACAGGTACCCGGTCGGCCGTTGGTGTCGAACAACCTGCCGGATGGAAGTCTGTGGGGGGAAGAAAAGCAAGCGTCAGTCGAGCAAGCGAGTGAGGCAGAGAAGCCGGTGAAGCGCGCACGTTGAGTACTCGTTTCCTCCGCCCCACTTGATCGAAACATGTATTCTAGTATTGACGTTGCTCGGGGTGAGAGTCGGCGTTGAGGCGGAGAGAAGAAATCTTTGTTGACTCGGTGGAGGCGTGGGGTGAGGGTGAGGGCACGAGGGGCGGCGGACATGATGAGGGGCGTAAGGTTGTAGTATAGATGGGGGAGGGGTAGATGTAGAGGTTTAGCGGCGGCGTGCATAAATAAGGAGGTAAGCAGGCGTGGGGCGCTAGAGGATTGGGACGAATGGAAGGGCAACGTAAGGCCATAGCACTTCATGAAGGCAGCGAGACGGGCAGAGCGAGGGTGAGACTTAGAAGTTCCCGGACAAAGGCAGCGAGGACGCAGCAGCGTAAAGGGGCGAGCAGGGTCTGGCGAGAAGCGTTGTGCCGAGGGTAGAGTAGAGTAGATAATCAGCAGAAGGCGGTAAAGCCGAATTTGGAGGCGGCTGTGGCAGTGAGATGGAAGTGGGGGTGGCCGAAGGACTCGGGAGAAGGTTGGAGAGAGGAAGGGAAGGGGATCCGGGAGAAGTCGTCGCTGTGAAAGTCTCAGCAAGGGGAAGGTATTGAGAGAAAAGGGACGCACCGTGGATGTTGCTGCTGCCGACTTGCCAAGTTCCCGCCTCGTAGCTTTCGTTAAAGCACACGGGAAATGTGGGGAAGGCGGCGGGACGAGGATCGGAGGCGGAACAAGTTAAGGCGAGAGTTAACTAGTTGGAATTGGTAATGACAAGGGATTGGGGACGGCTTGGTGTTAGATAGACTAAGAGTAACCGGGATGGTAGAAGTGATGATGATGGATGAGTGGAGAGCGTTGTTTGTCGAGGGGACAGGATGAGAGGGAGAGTGGAAATTGATGAGAGTTTGTTTGACGAAGACGCGAGGGCGGAGGGGACAGCATGAGAAGAAGCGGCGGACAAGTTAAGTAGAGCGTAAGTAACGGCGTGAGGTTGGAGTAGTAGACTATGGCTAGGGGACAGGTAGTCGGAGTGGGGGATGCGTGAGGAAGGAGGTACATAGGCGTGGGGCGGAAGGAGAGTGGGACGGATGGAAAGGTTGAATTTGAAGGCGGTGGGACGGGGGCCGGAGCCAGGAGGTCGGTCAGTAGAAGGGATTTGAGTGAGCGAGTGGAGAGCGACGATGAGGGGTGACGCCGGGGTCATCTTCCTGCATACTTTTGCTGCTGGTAGTATTGCTACTGCTGTTGAGGAGCAAGAGGCTGCTGTGGACGTGGTCGGCGGCCGAAGACATCCTGATACGCGGCAGTTGCTCGTGAGCCGTGGTAGTACATAGTACAAAGCCAGAGAGGGCTGCAAGGAGCAGCTGCGGTGAGATACAAGGGACGTAACGCATGTTGGAATCTTGAGAGTTGAGTCGGTTGACTTCTTTCCGCACTGTCCTTCAAGCATCGGTTTAGTAGTCGTCGAATGTGGAGAAGGCGGCAGGAAGAATGAGGCTGAGAGTCGGCGTTGAGATGGATTGAGGACGGCTGCGGGACAAGGAAGGGATGTGAGTGAGTGGCGTGCAGTGCCTCCCGCGTCTGTGGCTTTCGTGATAGTAGCGAATGTGTGGAATGCAGAGACAAGTCGTTTCTATGGAAGGGTCAGCAAACGAAGGCACGCGATACAGCTTGAGATGCCGGTGCTAACCAATTTCAGTGGTGGTACCTATAGAAGTAATCGTCGAATAGCGGGAGGCGGAGGCGGGAAGAGCGAAAGCTGGTTGTGGGATGGAGAGAGGGCTTTGGAAACGACTTGGTATTGAAGTAGTCGGAACGGCGGAAAGGTTGTGAACGAGGGCATGGATGAGTCTTGTTGTTGGTTGTTGTTGCGGGTAGTGTTGCTGCTGAGGCTGCTGTGGAGGCGGTCGTCGGCCGAAGATGTCCTGATACGTAGCAGTTGCTCGGTGGTCTTGTGAGTCTTGTGCCAGTGGTTGGCGCATCGTGGTTCACGGGCAGAGGCGCTGAACGTCGGCAATCGCCGGACAGAGCAACACAAACAACGCCATACAACGATGTTGCATCCTCTCTCATACTTAATAGTCTCTCATTGATCTCATCTCTTCTCGCATCTACTGACTCTCCTTCCTGTTTCTGTCTTTCCCCGGTCACCAATGAGTTCAGCATTCATTGGTAGTGAAATAAATTAACGACTCTGTTCAGATGAATTTTTGTGAAGAACTCAACCTTCAACTTTCAAGCTTCAAGTTGAATCTAGGAAGGGTCATATGAATTGAATGAGTATATCGTTATTCAAGTGTGATGATCTTTTGCTTGCTAGTGCTGTCCAAAGCCAAAAAATGAAACTGTGCGAGATATTCTGATGTCTAATAGGAACCCGGAGGACTATGAGGAGAGGAGAGGAGAGCGGTATGTATGATGTAGCTAGAGAACGAGGTGCATCTTCTGGTTATCACACGTCCTGGGTGTTCCGGCTGCGGGCACCCTTGGCGCTGTTCAAACTGTAAGCCAAAGTTCAATATCTCGACCAACTAACTTGCGCACCTTATATCTTGAGCTAGCTTTCTCCGATTCTCAGATTCCACGGACAACTGATCACGATGAGCAAGAGTTCACACAACGGAGGAAAAGTAGACCCACCAAAATTGATCTCTGAATCTTCTCTATCTCCTCCTCGCACTGGCTGAACGTCAACCAGATCGACCTCATCTTCGGCAGGTAAGATTTCAACGGAGACGTGTCTGCATCCAAAAGGTCAGAGCGGATTTGGGATACAGATAAGCTTGTCCTAACATAATAAAATCAGACACCGTAAAGGGCAGCACGATCGACATACTGAAGGAGCTCAACATGAATCTTGTCAAGCTCAAATACATTCGGTGCGTGCTCGGACATCGCAGAAGATACTTAACAGAGTCCTGGCAGAGTCGAGATTGTTTCTGAGTTTGGCCAGCCGTACCGATGGTCGGCTTCGATAGGCAGTATCGACGAAGAGGGATGTGATGACGACGGCAAGGCCTCCGTATCGTATCACACTAGAGGGTATGAGGGAGAGTGCAGCAGTGGCAACGAACATTAAGGAGGATTGAGGCCAGAGACAGAAACTGTTGGCAGCGGACATCTGGTGGTAGGGAGCTCACATGATAGTGGCCCATCCTTTTATTAGCCGCCAGGATGGGTGGACGAAAGGGACTCAGTCTGCTTGCGGTGAACATGGCTTTATACGGATGAGTCTGTCTGTTTGTTTCCGTCGCCGCCGTGTGTAAAAATTGGTAGCCAACTGCTGTTGTTGACATCCGTGAGATACACTGCACTAAAAATTAGAATTAATGTTCAAGATTCGTAGCAAGTGGGATTAAACGCCGTTGAATGATTAAACTCGCCCAATCCTGGCATTGAACTAGTGTGCTCTGAAATGGCCGATATATTGATTTCATGCCAGCCTAAGTACGGGTAGACTGTGCTGAATAGTTGCTGAATATAGCGACACGTTCAGTAGCTGAAGGTGCATCTTCTTCCTTGTGAAAGACACAACAAGGACACAACTAGCAAGCACCCGTGAGTCTAGAAGATATTTTGTATTCCGCAGTGACATAGTCCTTGCATGTAGAGCCGCTAGCGCTGTAGAACCAGGAATGAAAAAAGGTAAGTTGTTCAAAGTTTATGAAAGCGCCGGAGAGTACAGAAGATGTCAAGCGCCAGACAAAAGACAGACCAAGAAACGTAGCCAGGCAAGTGGTAAGCGTTGCAAAGCTGTAGCCCAGGGTACTTCAATCGGCGGACAGAATGAGCTATGTACAGCAGCCAAAAACGTTTACAACCTTTGAAGAGCACCAGAGATATTTCGAAACGGTATAAATCGATTAAATCGATTCCGGTGACCGGAGTGCGTTGGGCTATGGCTGAGGGGTGCGCAACATGCTGCTGCTGCTGAGCTGTATTGAAACTGTATCCCGACTCCTCGTGTTCAGGGTGCAGCACCTTGAGATTAAGGTTCACCGAAGGGGACGCTGCCAGTGCCCTGCAACTTGAACATCAATTTGCAGACTGGTATGTATCATTGCC